AGGATCTAGTTGTCCATGTTTTCTTCTGGACACTGGCTCCTTTGCCCTCACGGGGGCAGTTCACTCTTGATCCATAGTGGACACAGCCAGGGAGAGGCAGCTGGGTCCTGCAGGCGGGAGAGGGTGGTGGTCTGCCCTGGGGTCTGCAAAGTGTGTYACATGGAAACTGCAGAATCAGAAACTGCTCTTTTTCGCTGCATGAAATTCAGACGTTATAACTAAGCAAAATGATCTTAAAATGCCTTCCGCCACTCGGAGGTAACTTTTGCCAGCATTTTCCTATGCGGGGTCTTCTGGCACCTTCTCTGGGCACCGGGTGCCCTCCTCTCTGCAGCTCATCCACAGGCCTCTCTGTAGGACAGGAAGCGGGCCTCTGTGCGCACTGGACCTGAACGGTTGACCGCTGAACTGTTACTTGTTTATCTGGCTGATAGCACACTTGCAAACTCCAATGTGGGTCATTCCCAGAGCGGGGACAGTGAGACGGCGTCCCCTGTCCTTCTGACCTCCCCATCCCTGAGCAGACCAACCTGGAACTTGTCTTTTAATTGAATTTGAATCTTTTCCCCGAAAACCTTTGCACGGCCTTGACCTCCCCTCCGAGTCTGGAAGGTCCTCTCTTGTCGTCACGGCAGCCCTCTGTCCCTCAGAGAGCCTCACCGGCCTCCTCGGGGGTGGAGAGGCAGCCTCAGCCAGGACAGTGACCGGTGGCCCTAGCCGGGCCCTGGGGATAGCGCCATTTCTAGTGCCCCGCAGGCCAGTGATTAAAGATGACATTGGGGCGGGCAGGGTTGGTGCTGGGCAGCTCCCCGTCCCTCAGTCTGGACCACAGATGGCCTGCGCCTGTCCCTGAGGCATTGTCCCTGGGGGCCGTCATTAAGCAGGACCTTCTTTAAGCCCAGGGCTTCTGCTTTACTCCCGTCACGGTGTCCCCTGCATTTAAGGCAGAGGGACAAGAGGTCAAAATGAACCGTCCCCGATGCCCCGAGAGGTCACGCCCAGCTGCTGGCCGAGGGGTAATTAGTGGTCAAGTGAAATGCGCCTGGCSGGCGGGACAGCCCAGCCACGTCTGCCCTGTCGGGAGGCCCATGTGGGATGGGAGGTCAGACCCCTTCCTGCCCGTGCCACTCGCCGTCCTGCGCCTGCGGGGTGTGGGGGGCCGTTCCCTGGGCGGCCTCCTGCTCCGGGGCTGCACCTGCCTGTCCTACCCGCAGAGCGACACCCTCCCTAGAGGTCAGCTCCACTGCCCCGCAGGTGCTCTGTGTTTTGGTCCCAGCTGGGTCACATGGCCACTGCTAACGCAAAGGTGGCGGAGGAAGACAGCGTCTGGCTTAGGAAGGGACGTCCCTGAGCCCCTCTGTCTGCACSGTGGCTCCAGATCCACATTCTTCCCGCTTCCCCGAGGGCTTCCTTGTTCAAATTAAATGAAAAAAAGAAAGAATTAGAAAAAAAAAAAAACAGAATTTACCATGGAGACATGACCCCTGGGTATGACCTTGCTTTTCAACTTTTCACTTTTTGTTTTTCCTTTTTTTGGTCCTGGGGTCTGAACCCAGGGGCCCTCGACCACTGAGCCCCATTCCCAGCCCTATTCTGTGTTTTATTTAGAGACAGGGTCTCCCTGAGCTGCTTAGGGCCTCCATGTGGCTGAGGCTGGCTTTGAACCTAGGTCCTCCTGCCTCAGCCTCCTAAGCTGCTGGGATGACAGGTGTGGGCAGCGTTTTGCTTTTTCAGTAGTTAAATAGACGTATTTCAAAAACAACCTTCCCAAAAATCTCCATTATAAACAGAAAACCAATGTCACTTGCCTTAAATAGAAAATAACAGTAAAAATTAAACACAAAGAAAAGAAAATGACAGTTTCCATCCGCCGCTGCAGCAGCCTTGGCCTGAGTGGGGGCTCGCTCTGTGCTGCGCTGGAGATGAGCAGATAATGGAGATGTGCATCAAACCCCAGCGGCACCAAGCAGAGCTGTCTGGGRGACTTCCCAGGGAACAGGGAGAATCAGAAAGGAAGCAGCTTCCTTTGAATGGTGTCATTTAAGACTCTTGCACTGTCATCTGAGACCATGTAGTGCCCCAAGTGGTCCCCTCCAGCTTCTGCAGAACCCGTGCTGCCTGCCCCCCCTTTCCCCACCCAGCAGTGGCCCTCCAGTGTGTCCTAGGTTCTGGGAAGCCGTCTGTGCCCAGGGGGGGCTTCAGTGGGCGAGTCAGTCTTGCAGAGGTGCGGCCCGGGCTCAGCGCAGACACGAGGCTCTCTGATCAGGTCAACTGAGAGCTGGAAGTCACTTTGGTTTGGGAAATCTGCACAGGCTTCTGGGAAGAGGTGTCATTTGATTAATCTCTCTYGAATGTCCTTTTGTCCTTCTTCATGGACCCATTTGAGAATCTGGGGYGAGACCTGGCCTGCGGTATAGACCAGGTTAGTTTGCTGGGGGGAACTTGCCCAAGGAATGGACAGTGGGAGCCACTGATGGTTTCAGAGCTGGGGAATGCCCTGCTCAACCCTGCTAGGACCAGGGCTTTGTGCACAGGCAGCTCTTGGGCCAGCATCCGCTAATTCCTTCAGAAATGTTCTTGGACTTGGAAGAAATTGTTACTTTTTGTGAAAGGCAACATGGACTTCTCAGGCTCCCTAAAGACAGTGCATCTCGCTCATGTTTCTCTCTGGGTCTGGCGTTGGGCTGTGCCTTGTCCACTGGTGCTCAGGGGCTGTTTCCTCTGCTCTGAGCCCCGATTCTAGGGCTGGGCCCCATCTTCCAAAGCCAGGCCAGCCGCCGCCGCTGGGCAGCTGTTGGAACTGTCCTTGGAAACCTCGTCAGGTGTGTGGTGGCCTGGCCATCAAGCAGAGCCAGAAGACTCCCCGTGAGGGGCAAGGCCACCAGGAACTCTGGTTTGTTGCTTTCTGGACATTTTACCGGGCCTGYCCCAGGGCAGAAGTGAAGAACCCTGACCGCACACTTGGCTTGAGTCAGCAGGGGAAGGTTCCCTCGGATGGGATTCTGCAYGTCCCTGGAGCTCTGGAAAAGGCGTGCACCCTGTGGCCAGCCAGCCTGCGGCTAGGCAGGATRTATCTTGGGAAAATCATTGCATGAGGCTTTGTTTGCAGTGTTGGTTTCAATGGTCAGTGATTGGAGGGTGGGCCATTAGTTGACATCCAGGGKTGAGGGATGAGTGACCTGAGGATGAGGCGCTTTAATAGAGGAATACCATAAAAGTGCTGGGATCCGCAGTAGAGGGTGCATAGCTCTCCAGGTGAGAGACCCCATGAAATTAAGCCACAATTAAAAAAAATTTCTAGCCAGGTGCAGTGGCCCCTGCCTGTCATCCCAGTGGCTCAGGAGGCTGAGACAGGAGGATCACGAGTTCAAAGCCAGCCTCAGCCACAGCGAGGCCCTGAGAAACTCAGTGAGACTCTGTCTCTAAACACAAAATAGGGCTGGGGCTGGGGCTCAGTGGCCAAGGGCCCCTGAGTTCAATCCCTGGTACCCCCCCCAAAAAAAAATCTAAATAGTGTTCAAGATTTGATTCCATTCCAGTTTTAAGTGAAATTCTCCATGTAAGGAATGAAAGCCCCATGATGACTCCGGCTGCTTGTCACAGAGCTGACCGTGGCTGCTGGCACTGACAGCAGGGTTTGGGACRATTAGAAACACTTGCTCTTCTGTGGTTTGAATTTTTCTGCAGTTCTCATGTGGAGCACCGAGGGGGCAGGGCGCTRCCAGAGGACGAACTGAAGACCAGGGGCTGGGAGGGGTGGCTGGAAGAGGCCCGGGAGGATGGCATCCCTCCAGGTCTGGGGTGCAGGCCTGCCTCATCAAGGAGCTGGGTGGGGAGCGTGCTCGGCAACACAGCACCTGTCAGGGAAGCCCCTTATTTCTGTTTTGCATATGAGGACCCCCTAGTCTGCTGAGATTCTCTACTGTAATGAAATCTTGGAGACTTGTGGGGACTCTTCCTAAGTGTCATTAGGTTTTTTGGTACCAGGGGTTGAACTCAGGGGCTCTCAACCACATCCCCAGCCTGATTTTGTATTTTATTTACAGACAGGGTCTCCCTGAGTTGTTTAGGGCCTCGATAAATTGCTGAGGCTGGCCTTGAACTCTCCATCCTCCCACCTCAGCCTCCCAAGCACGGGATGACAGGCATGGGCCAACCACACCCAGCTCAATAGAGTTTTTTCAGCTCACTTTGGTGACATTTCCGGTTTCTTAAAACGTTTGCTTAACTTTTCCACCTTCTGCAAGTCCCAATTCCTGTGGCTTCTTTAGTGTTGAGCTGATGTGCTCTCAGCTCTCCACTTTTTTGTGTGCAGACATTCTTTTCAGATGTATTAAGCAAACAAAAACAATTCAGAAAAGAAGTGAAGAAGAAGAACAAGGAGGCCCCCAGGTCCTTGGAGAGCCAGGCTTTCAGGGTCTCCATTTTCCACAGTCTAGAGCAGGGCCACAGACTTTGTCTAGTAAATAGCACAAACCATCGGGCCCTGTGGACTCTGTGACAGCAACTTAACCCTGTCACTCACACAGATCCCCGTACTGGATGGCCCTTGAAAGGGGTCACAGCCATAGTAACCAATGGGTGTGGCTGTTGCCAATAAAACTTTATTGACCCAGCAGCCCCGTGGGTTGGGTTCTGCCTGGGGCTTCCCGCGGATCTAGAGGAAAAACGGGAAAGAAGCAGCTTGATTAATGGCTGGGGCCAGKGGTCCCCCTGTCCCAAAATAGCACAAATTGTAGGAAGGAACAGGCCGGAGAATTGAAAAGGCGGATGTTAGGCGGAGGGGAAGAGCTGTCSTGACCTTGGCCTGCAGGTCAGCGGTGGCCCCTGGCCGCGGGGTCTGCGCGGCAGCTGGGATCCCGCTTTGAGGCTCCCAAAGGCAGATGGGCCCCTTGGAGGCTCCGAGAAGTTTCTGGAAGAGCTGGCTTGCCGTCCAGGACCCAAACCCTGTCCCTCCCGCCTCGCAGAAGTGTCCAGGGGCCTGGGAGGGGCCCTGCAGTGGGTGCCAGGTGGACTGGACTGCGGCGCCCGGAGGCCCGGCCGTGCCCAGGCGGCTGTCACAGGACAGGGACGCGCCCTGGGAGGGCTCACTGCGCCTGTCCCGCAGCGCGAGCGACGGTCCTCTGCAGCCCCCCAGCCCTGCGCGGAGCAGCGACGGCTTTTCAGGAGTCTCGGGCTCAGAATCCAGGAAGGCGTGGTGCCCGGGGAGGGGCCCGCCGCCGGAGAACCCAAGGCCAGGAGCCTCGGTGGCGCCAGCTCCCAGTGCACGCTCCTCTCAGCGACAGGCAGGTCAGTGTCCCCTCTGGCCCGCGCAGCCTCTCATATCTGAGGCCCGGAGGGAGGCAGGGCGGGCTTTGCTGGTGCAGGGAAGTGCCCGGCGGCCCCAGCGCTGGGTCTGCAGGTCTGGCCTCGGAAGAGGGAGGCSCTGGGACCTCAGGAGCGGATCCCTCCGCAGCGACAGAAGCCGGATCAGTGGCTGCCAGGGCTGGTGGGGGCGAGGGCTYGGCCTCCCAGTGACGTGGGAGATGCTGTCCTTTGGGAAGGCGTTTGGAAGCTGGAGGGCGGTGGTCGTTGCGCAGCTCAGAGGGGCAGTGCTCAGGGCTCCCCGACTTACGATGTCTCCGCTTTACGATGACGTGGGAGCTGCGCCGGGGCCTCCGCGTTTGGAATTCTGAGTGTTTGCTCCTCACCTGGGCCTCAGGTGCTGTGTGATATTCCCTCCCAGTGCGATGCGGCTCCTGGGCCAAGGCATCACAAGGGGGAACAGCATGTGCATTCCCGAGTGCTCAGTGTATTCAGCCGGGAACGGTGGCACACGCCTCTCCCCCCAGCGGCTTGAGAGGCTGAGGCAGGAGGATTGCCCATTGAAGGCCAGCCTCAGCGATTTAGGAAGCCTCTGTCTCCGAATTAAAAAAAAAAAAGAAAAAAAAAAGACTGGGGATGAAGCTCAGTGATACAGCACCCCTGGGGTCAATTCCCASTACAATCAATCAATCAAAATCCAAATAAAAAGAGATCTTTGTGCTAAATGGCTTTGCCTAACTGTGCTCTCCCAAGTGACCTGAGTGCGTTTAAGGTGGGCCAGCCTAGGTTGTCCAGGTTAGTGGTATTAAGAGCATTTTGGACAGCAGTATTTTCAACTTAAGGATGGATTCATTGGGACATGTCACCATAAGCCCAGGAATATCCATACTGTGAGTTTAGTAACCACCGYGGCATTGTGAAACCTGGAGGTTCTTGAGAATGAAGGGGTATGACCCAGATGAACAGGGGTGTTTGGGCACCCTGGCCAGTGCCACCCTGTGCAGACTCTCCTCCTCCTTCAGCCTCCTGAGTCGCTGGAATGACAGGCATGCACCACTGCGCCCGGCTAGTATTTGTTCTTTTGTGATCCATGTGTCTCRCATGATGTCCTTGTGGTTTGTCCATGTTGGAGCAGCTGTCAGAATTTCTTTCCTTTTTAGAGCTGTATAATATTCCTCTGTGTGAGTATTCCCCATTTGACTCATYTGTCTGTTTGAGGTGGACAGTTGGGTTGTGTCCACCGGCAGGCTGTTGTGATGATGCTTGAACATCGGTTTACAAACACCTGTTCAAATACCTGTGTCCACTTCTTTTGGATATGTGCCTAGGGATGGCATTTCTAGATCCTTTGAGTGGTTTGGGGGATTCCCATACTGTTTCCACGGCGACTCTGCCATTTTACATCCCCACAGCAATATCTAGGGTCCCAGTTTCTCCACATCCCGGTCTGCATTTCTTCTCCTTTCTCTTTTCACAATAGCCACCCCATGGGTGTGACATGCCCTTTACCTGTGAATGTCATAAAAAGCAGTGATTCTAGTGACGTTCAAGTGGACTTTGGAAACCTGACCGGGAGGGAGGGTGGGGACCAGAGTGCCAGCYGCCTGCAAGCCAGGCGCACCCTCCTCCGTCTCCTCTCCTCACCTGTGAAACAGGGGTCACAGCAGGACCGGCCACCGGGGCTGTTGAAGGGCCAGAGTGGAGTAATTCCTGGGAGACACCCAGCAGAGTGCCTGGCACCGTCTGGGCCCTGAGATCATGGCTGTTTTTAACTGTAAGCACGTTGTTTTCATTCTGGTTTCATGTGTTTTGTGTGCGGGTTTTGAGATGGCGTCCCACTGTGCTGCCCGGGCTGGCCTCTATCCTCTGGCCCTCCTTTGATCCTCCTGCCTCAGCCTCCTGAGTGGCTGGAACCACAGGTGTGGGCCACGGCACCTCGGCATTTTGAATGGATGGAAGAACACAGCTCAGGGACACAAGGCCCCCCCCCATGACTGTGACATTTGCCTCTCCTGGAGAATGGGCGCTGTTCCCGTGGTTCTCCTGTGACGGCCGYGGCTCACCCATCTTTGCTGACCCCAAACCAAGGACTTGCAGGGTGAGGGCTTCGCGGGGCCCTGGTGGTGCCCAGGCTGGCTGGGGCTGGGGTGGTCTGCCTGTGGGTCGTGAGTCGGAATTACTTCCAGCAGGCGTCCCCAGGGGGACGGGGACCACAGTGCCCTGCAGATAAGGCGGTTTTCCTTTCTGGTGACTTCCTAGGGTGACTTTCTGGCGATGGGGTCACTGAGTTGAAAGTAGACAGGGTTTGGGGGGACGAGGTGCATGGGGAGCCTCCCCACTCCTGTGATGGGGGGCTGGTGGTCTTTCCGGGCCAAAGCCCATGTGGGGACAGCACCCCAGTGTTGACAGGATTTTTTTTTGGTACCAGGGATTGAACCCAGGGGCCCTCACCACTGAGCCCCACCCCAGCCCTGTTCTGTGTTTTATTTAGAGACAGGGTCTCACTGAGCTGCTTAGGGCCTCGCCATGGCTGAGGCTGGCTTTGAAYTCACGATCCTCCTGCCTCAGCCTCCCGAGCCACTGGGAAGACAGGTCAGGAGAGGCTTCCTGGAGGCGGTTGGAGGAGGAGGGGATCATGGGTGCACAGAGATGAGGAGGCAGCTAGAGGAAAAGGGTGCTTCCTGCCTCCTGCCTGGGAGTCACTTCAGAAGTAGGAGAGTGTGTGTAAGAGACAGAGGGAGCAGCCTCCATTGTAGACCAGSCTGGTGGGAGAGAGAGGGTCAGATCCGGGGCCTTGGGGAGGAGTCAGGTCTCCACCCAGGGGCAGTGGGAGACCGGAGGGATTTGAGCTGGGGGTGACGTCCCGACCCTTGGGTGTTAGGGAGGCCCAGCCAAGGGAACCAAGGGCCATGCTGAGGCTGACTCCAGAAGTTCCTTCTYCGTGACGCCCTCCCCGGCCACCGAGGAGTCCCCTTCTGCATAGTCACCAACATTCTTCACACTGGGATCAAGTGTTTTGTTCACTGCTCTCTCTGTGTTCAGGGCTTTCTGCTGCATCCCCAGCACCTGGCACATAGTAGGTGCTCATTAATAGGGCATTGGAATGGATGAATGAATGGTTGGATGGATGGATGGAGAGATGAGCTAGGGCTGCAACCATGGGGACAGGGACAGGGGACGCGCGCKCTCCAGTGACATCTGACATTTCGGCTGGGCCCTGTGCATCTGGGGCCCGTGGGTGGCCAGATCTTGTGTGTTCCGCGCCCAGCTCCTCCTGGAGGATGCCAGCGTGCGCTCTGCCAATCTGCTCCTGGCCTGTTGCACGGTGCGCGTCACGGGACTGGTCTGCAGATTCAGGGGCCAAGGTCATGTTCTGGGAGACGCTGAAAGGTGTCAGGACCGGCCCACGCCCTGCACCAGATGGTGGCCTTCCCGGGAAGCAGCCGCAGCCAGAGAGCTGGTGAGCTCCCAGAGCGGCTGGCGGGTGTGACTGCGGAGAAGCGTCCACAGCCGCGGGAATGAGTCAGGGCCTCCGAATCCGGGGTAAGAGCTGTTTGGTTCTGAATGGGAGCGTCCCTCTCGCCCGTCCCCAGGGGACTGAGCCCTGTGGCTGCTCCTGGCACTGGGGCATAGAGCCCGGCGCCTCGGGAGGCCGCCTGTGCCCGGAGCGTCAGGATGAGGGTTTGGGATGGTCCCTGTGGTTCCTGCACCTGTTGCTCAGTGAGTCCCTCCGCAGACAGCTTGTCACGGGAAGTGGGGGGGTCTCAAGCTTTGCAGATGAACCCAGGGACATCAAACCTGAGGATTCTTCAGGTGGAGCCTGAGAAGTGCCCGCTGCTGCGGTCACAGCGGGGGTCAGGCTGAGGTCCTCTCTGTCTTGGTCGCCCACAGCCTGCTGACCCCCAGGTGGATGCCTGGCTGTCTGTCTGCCCCAGCTGACCTCTGTGACAGTGAGTGTGCATGACCAGTGTGTAACGTGTGCACACCACACACACACAACCAGGTCTGGCTCAGGCGGGTTCCCCCTGGGAGCTCTTGGTCCCCTGACTTTGTCTGTGGCTTCACTAAGGCATTTGGAAGGAGCCGGCGAGGCCACCCAGGAATAAATAGCAGCCGGCTTGGGTGCGAGTGGGCTTCCAGAGCATCTTGGAAGAGAGGAGCATCTTTTAAATCAGGCTAACATATGCGATGCATTTAAAGTAAGGTCTGAAGGCACAGCCTTAATCAAGCGCCTCGTTTTATGACAGGTTGAGGGAAAACCTGAGCTCTCTGGGTCTCGGGGGTCGCCAGGACTTGGGACTGCTATTCYGTGGTCTGCGGTGGTTTAGGGTCCTGCTCTCCTTGGATTGATTCATTGGTTCCTCGATTCGTGTAGCCTCCTTTGCAGACCAGGGYGTCCCCCAGGGCTGAGCTGGAGCGCGGGTCCTGCCCTTGGAAGTGTGCCTGCCTCACTGAGAGGAGTCCCGCCCAACATCTGAAGGTCTGTGGTGACCTTGAACCTGTACCACAGGCTGGCTCCAGGTTGGAGGTAGACAGAGAAGTCTGAGCTGTGGCCAGAGCCTATATCCATGTGTGGGGAAGAAGGGTCCCCAGGTAACAGGCACAGCGTGTGCAAAGGCCCTGAGMGCATGTGAGGACCTCTGAAGGGTGCATCATGCAAATGCAGAACAGAAGGAAGAGCTCCCAAATGACGTTGAGGGCATTGTCTGGGACCACCATTCCAGATCTAGGCAGCTCATTCTCTTCCTCCTTTGTTTCCTCATGAACTATTGTAAAGGAAGACATTATGACCTAGTGTTGCAATTGCTGTGTGTGTGTGTGTGTGTGTGTGTGTGTGTGTGTGTGTTACATAAGACTGTGAGCTCCATGGTTGCAGGGTAGTTCTTCTTACACATAGTAGGTGCTCAGTAAACACGGGGGATTCTTATCGTCTCCTGCGCACACATGGATATATAAGGCTAACAAACTGGATAACGGGAAGGAGTGTGTTTTAGTMGCTGGAGGAGATGCCAGCGGATGCAGTTGGAACCCAAAAGCTTTTGCGCCGTCTGTGCACATATTGCCAGAGCTCCAGAACCCAGGCTGTCCCTGTGCCTCAGACCTGCTGAAACTCAGCTGCAGGGACCAGCCTCCGTCCCCCTCGGGCTCCTGCCATGGGCGCGCACGGCTGGCCCCGTTCCCCCTGAGCAGGGACTCTGGGGCTTCCCCGGACTCACGCGTCCCCAGCCAGGGCCACCAGCTCGGGTAAGTGGGTGCAGGTACCACCCGCACGTGGGGCTGTGGTCCGGGAGGTGCAGACGCCGGTGCTGGGAGACTTTCTCCCTGGAATCCTGTCGCTGTCCTGTGTCTCCTGCCTGGGCTGCGTGTGTCCCACACAGGGCTCCAGCGGCCCGAGGCCGGCTGCKGGGGCAGGGGCAGGGCCGGTTCTCAGATCCTGCGGGTCTGTCCCTCTGTTCTGCCTGTGACCGCGAAGGGGTGATGTTCTGGGTGGGAGATGGGCTCTGCTGGCCCCTGAGGGTGTAAGGAGGAGAGAACCCCAAACCCGGCTGCGTCCCTCAGTGTCCCTCCCGAGGCTGTGAGTGAGTCAGCCGGAGCCGAGCAGCCAGGAGGGAGGGAGGGAGGGAGGGAGGCCGGAGGCTGCAGAGGAACCAAAATACCTCGGAGGTTTTGCGCATCTAGCTGGGGGCGGGCGGGCAGTTTTTAAGGGAAAGACGACACGGGCCTGGAGCCCGTGGGGATTGCGAACAGTGAGGGCTCCCACTTTTTAAGATCAGAAAGGAATCAGAAAAATATTGTTTTAAAGGCAGGGCTGGATGTGACCCGTTCAGCCGCAGGTCAAGCCACAGCTGTGTGATAATAAACAAGCTGGGTAACCTCTCTGGGCCCTTTCCTTTCATCTGCAGAAGAAAGAAGATGACAATTCTTGCCTTTCTGAGTTGTTTGAAGCTTAAGGCAGGGGGAGGCGTGGTCTCCTATCTGGGTGAACCAGGGCCTTGCCCCCTGCAGCCTCGGCAGGTGAATCTGATCTGTGGACCCACTTTACAGGGTTGTGGGGGTGAGAGTTATAGACCGCATGGAGCTCTCGTTTCCAAGGTGGGCTGTCATGGTCAGTTTTACTCTTACTAAGAATAGGAAGGGGGCTGGGGTCGTGGCTCAGCAGGAGAGCACTCTTCCTGCACATGTGAAGCCCTGGGTTCAATCCTCAGCACCACATAGAAATAAATAAATAAAACAAAGGTATTGTGTCCAACTGCAACCAAAAAATAAATATTAAAAAAAAAAAGAATATGAAGGGGATTGGGGTGGGGCACATGGCACACACCTGTCATCCCAGTGGCTTGGGAGGCTGAGGCAGGAGGATCCCAAGTTCAAGGCCAGCCTCAGCAACTTAGCAAGACCCTGTCTCTACATAAAAAAATTAAGAAGGCTGGGATTTTTCAGTGGGTAAGCACCCTGGTTAAAAGAAAGGGAAAAAAGAGGAAGGGACATAAAATAGGTGTTCAACAGAAAGAGCCCCACAGCAGATGAGTGAAAGCAGGCTGAGTGGGAACAGCGGCTTTGATTTTTAGTGCCCATGGGAAGGCAAGAGGCTCCCGCGGCCAGGTTGGGGTGGTGACTATGGCATGGGTTCCAGGCCACTCCCCAGCTTTGTGATTCTGGGAACCCCTGGTTCACGTAGCTGTGTGAGCTGGGGCCGGTCACTTACCCTCTCTGTGCTTGGTGCTCAGCACAGGGCTGTGATGCAGATCCTCCAGGGTGCCTGACAGACCCTGGGATGGGAAACAGCCAGCGCCACAGGAGCAGGGGGGGAGGGGACCACACGCCCATGGGGCCTCGGGCTGGACCGTGTGCCTGGGTTCAGATCCCGACTTGACCTCTGGCTTCCTGAGCGCCCTCTGGCCTGTTTCTGGGCCTCTCTGGGCTGGCTTCCTTATCTGTCGGGCAGAGGTCCTGGCCTCTAAGACCTGGCTGGAGACCGGGTGAGTCAGGAAAGACCCACAGGATGCTGGCCCTGGTCCAGCCCGTGAGGGGCTGTGCAGGCCACACCCTTCCCAGAGCTCAGAGGTAGGGTCCCCAGGCTGCCTGGGGAGGTCGGGGTCCCGGGGCTCAGGTCTGGGGTCCCCCTGCTGGGACCCAGACACTGTTTGCTAAATTGACTTTTTTTTTTTTAAGCAGTCGCTTCTCCGTTCCCGATGCTCTTGATCCTCCTGGAGCCTCAGCCGTAACCATGGTGACGCGGGTCGAGGTGGGCTCCATACCGTCCTTGACGGCAGTGCCGGGCCTCGGGGACATGGGCAAGGAGGAGGCCCTGAAGAGGACTTACTTCTGCCCCGCGGGGGACGCCCCTGGGCCGCCCTCAGCCCGGATCTTGGAGGGCAAGAGCCCCCTGCGGAGCCCGGGCGGCCTCTTCCCCGCGCCCAGGCTCGCCCCGCGGCCCTTCTCCAAGGACCAGGCCCCCGACGGGAAGGCCCCCAGCTCGGCCCTGTGGCCTGGGCCCACCCGGCCGGGTCCCGCTGGGCCTTGTGACCTGGACAGGAGGATGCCCAGCCTGGGGGGGCAGGGGGTGGGTGGTGGAGTGGCCTCGGGGACAGGCCCGTCCCCGCTCAGCAAGGCTGCCTGCCCACGGCCCGGCCCTGGCACCGCGCTTCTCTTTGAAGCCACCAGAACTGGTCCCACCCTGGGGAAGGGGCTCAGCAAGGACACGGTGGCCGTGACCCCCGAGTCTCCTCCCAGCTCCCGGCCTGAGGTGGCCGCCAAGCCTGCCCGGAAGCCCCCAGGGGCCCTTCCCCGGCCGGCGTCACTGCCACAGGACACGCGACCAGCCGTCCCCCAAGAGGAGGCCACCCATGACCAGTCGGTCCCAGAGGGCGGCGAGGAGGACCCCACAGGTCCCCCAGCAGAATCCAGGCCTCGCCCCAAGAGAAGGCCCGTCTCGGCCATGTTCCTGGAGCCCGCTCAGCCCCAGAAGCCCGGCCCAGGCGCAGGGGCCACGTCGGGGAAGGTGGCCCCGGCCCCGCCCGAGAAGACCTGGGTGAGGAAGCCCCGGCCCATGTCCGTGGACCTCACGGCCCCGTTCCAGAACAAGGAAGCCCTGCCGAGGAAGGGGACCCGTGAGGGGCCGCAGGGGACAGACAGGGCCAACCCGGAGCCTCGGTTGGACAGGGGGTGGCCTGCCAGAGCCGAGGGTCCCCCTGGGGACCCAGATGCAGACTTCCTGGAGGTGGCCAAGAAGATCCGTGAACGGAAGAAGAGGCTTCTCAGGCAGGAAGAGACGGGCAGCCCCAGGAGCCCAGGGGACCCGGCCAGGGCGGGCCCTGGACATGACCCACGTCCCCAGCAGGAGAAAGCCAGCCTGGGCCAGGAGCCAGAGAAGAAGCCCTTGTCCCCGCTGCCCAGGTCAGCGAGGGGCCCGGAGCTCGCGGAGGCCCACAGCAGAGGGGGCGACAGGGAGGCCGCAGCGGGGACGGCGGGGCCCTCCAGGGGCTGCGTCAAGAAGCGCCTGAGCCTGTTCGGGGAAGAGAGCCCCCCGGGCCCCGCAGCAGCACGCGAGTCCCCACCGGCCACCCCTCAGTCCCCACCCACAGTGCCACCGCCCCAGAAGGGGGGCGTGAGTGTCCAGGAGCGGATCAAAGGCTGGACCGCGGAAGGCTCCAGGGGGAGGCCCGAGCTCAGGAGGAGGACGCTCCCGTCGTCGCGGCCGCTGTCGGCAGATCTGACCAGACTGTGAGTGGCCACCTCCCCCCCCCCCACCGCCTCCTCCACGCCCCGGGGGACGGGGTTCAAGGGCCTGGGCTCCTCCTGGCCAGCTTATCTGCGGCCCTGAGAGCAGGTGGGAGTCGCTGCCCTCCTCGGACCCTCCGCCTCCCCCACAGTGGGACAGATTGTTCCCCGCTGCCCAATTTGGCATTGCCCAGTGTTGTCACCGCCAGGCCTTCCTCCCCAAGGTCAACGACAGTTGAGATTAGGCCCAAGCCTCCGTGAGCGGGCCCCCAGATCAAACCAGAGGAGCCAGGGAGACTGGTGAGCCTCATTGTCCTTCCCTGACACTCGCTGCAGGGAGAGCCCCCTGTCCCCCACCCCCACCCCCACCCCGAGCAGCCCAGAGCGGGGCCTCCTGCCACTGGGTGTCCTGGCTCAGTTGCTGGCTAGGCCCCTGGTCAGTGAGGGCTCTGAGCCCTGCCCACTGCCCAGGCACCCTGCTTCACCAGAGAGTGGCCACAGCAGGGAGCTGCCACCCTGCTCGCCAGTGTCACCCATGCTACTGACACGCTTAGTCCAGGGAGGAGCCTCAGAGCTGGCCTCCAGGTGGACTGCCCTCTCACCTGGGAACCAAGCCGCCAGCCAGGCCCCGCACACACTAGAATCACCCCGGAAATGTGACCCCTGCTTGGGCTGCACCCCCAGCGCTTCTAGTCACTGGGCCTGGGGGGGGGGCTCATGTTTGGGTCTTTTCTCTTTTTTTTGGTACCTGGGATTGAACCCAGCGCCCTCACCCCTGAGCCCCACCCCCAGCCCTATTCTGTGTTTTATTTAGAGACAGGGTCTCACTGAGCTGCTCAGGGCCTCACTGTAGCTGAGGCTGGCCTTGAACTCACAGCCTCCTGAGCTGCTGGGAGGACAGGCGTGACCGCGCCCAGCTGGGTCATTTTTAGAAGCTTCCCAGGGTTCTCAGGCTCAGGCAGGCCTCAGGGCCCTGAGTTACGAGGACAGAGAAGAGGGCACCTGTGCCAGGGCCTCCCCAGCTTCCGCTCACTGGGCCCGGGACTGCCCCAGGTGGCCGGTGGTCATCTGACCGAAGGGGACATTGAGGCAGGGAGTTTAGACAGGACCCATCCCAGCCCCACCTCCCCGGAAGCAGACCCCTCCCCTGCTGAGTTGGGGTCAAGTTCCAAGTGGCTGGTCTCCCCCGCCCTCGTCCACACAGCACCCCTACCCCGCCCTGAACTGAGCAAGTGCCACATCTGCAGGTGGCGTCCACCGAGGAGACCTCAGAGAGGGAAGGACCCGCCCTCCTCCCTCTCTCCCTTCATAAGTGGGGACACTGAGGCACACAGGGACCTCGGTTAGACTCTGGCCACCCAGAGAGGCCTCACGCACGGCTGTGACGGCCACTGCCTGAGGCTCGTGGCAGGGTTAAGGTGGGGACTGGGGCTGGGGCTGCCACCCCTCCCTGGCGTCCCCTCTCCCCAGACGCCTCCGTGTAGCTATTAGGGCCGTGGGTGGCCTCTTATCTGCCCTATAAAAGAAGGTGCTCATTATCCCCACTTTATAGACAGGAAACAGGCTCAGGTGAGGTCCCAGGCCTGAGCTGGGACAGCACTGGGTGTCCGCACCCGCCTGGGCGCCTTCCACCCCACGCTCTGCCTGCGTAGGCCCTGCCCCCGCCCCCTCCTTTGGCGACCCTCAGGAGGTGTCCCGCGGCTTGGCCTGGGAGGCCTGTGATCTCACCAGCCCCTGAGCTGGAAGCAGAGTGGGCTGCGGGGGGCCCGGGGGCCGGCTGCTGGCTCCACGCGAGTGACTCGGGTCTCTGTACCAGGTTTTCAAGTTCAGCCTCCAGTAGCGACATCAGGTGTGAGAAGACTGCTGTGCCCAGCCCCAAGCGTCCTGAGGAGCCCACGGCCGAGGTGAGTGGTGGCTGGGCTTTGGGCAGGACGCTGGTGGGTCTCCATCCCCAGGTGTCAGGCGGGACTCTGAGAGTGACCGGCAGGTGGTGGTTATTTTTCTTCCTCTGTGCTAGGAGGAAGAGGGCCTGCGTTTCCTGCATGAATCCTGCCTTAGTGAAACCCCAAACTTGGGTTTAAATGACATTAAAAGTCCCTGAAGCTGGGCATGTAGCACGCACCTGTCATCCCAGCGGCTAGGGAGGCTGAGGCAGGAGGATCTCGAGTTCAAAGCCGGCCTCTGCCATAAGCACCTCAGACCCTGTCTCTAAATAAAACAGGAGAAGGGCTGGGGTGGGGCTCAGCAGTCAAGTGCCCTGGGTTCAGTCCCTGGTACCAAGAAAAAAAAAGTCCTTCAGGTTACCCTGTCATGACTCTCCCTCCTTCGTCACCTTGACTTGTCACCCAGCAGAAGAAAGAAGGAAGCTGGCAGCAATTTCACTGCCTACAAGTGTTTCTGTGTCATCGTTCAGTAAGAACAGGCTCCTGGGTCAGCCCTTGGCATGACTGCGTGCGCCCGGTGCTCTGTGAGGTCCTGATGCTGAAAGCTGCTCTGTTGAGGGACACGTGACCGACACGGAGAGCGCRTGGCGAAAGCTCACAGGGGAGTCCACAGCTCTGCACACTGGGGCAAATGCCATGATTTTATTCTCTTTTATTGCTGAGTAATATTCCATTGTGTATAGATGCCACATTTTTTTTCTCCATTCATCCACTGAAGGGCATCTAGGTTGGCTCCACAGTTTAGCTATTGCGAATTGTGCTGCTATAAACATTGATGTGGCTGTGTCCCTGTAGTGTGCTGTTTTTAAGTCCTTTGGGTATAGACCAAGGAGAGGGATAGCTGGGTCAGATGGTGATTCCATTCTCAGATTTCCAAGGAATCTCCATACTGCTTTCCAAATTGGCTGCACCAGTTTGCAGTCCCACCAGCAGTGTATGAGTGTGCCTTTCCCCCCACATCCTTGTCAGCACTTATTTTGTTTGTCTTCATAATAGCTGCCATTCTGACTGGAGTGAGGTGATATCTTAGTTTTGATTTTTATTTCTCTGATTGCTAGAGATGTTGAGCATTTTTTCGTATATTTGTTGATTGATTGTATATCCTCTTCTGAGAAGTATCCGTTCAGGTCCTTGGCTCATTTATTGATTGGATTATTTGGGGTTTTTTTTTTTTGGTGCTTAGCTTTTTGAGTTCTTTATCTACCCTAGAGATTAGTGCTCTATCTGATGTGTGAAGGGTAAAGATTTGCTCCCAGGATATAGGCTCTCTGTTCACCTCACAGATTGTTTCTTCTGCTGAGAAGAAACTTTTTAGTTTGATTCCATCCATTTATCGATTCTTGATTTTAATTATTGTGCTATAGACGTCTTATTAAGGAAATTGGGGGCTAATCCTCATGATGGTGATTAGGGCCTACGTGTTCTTCTATTAGACTCAGGGTCTCTGGTTTTATTCCTAGGTCCTTGATCCACTTTGAGTTCTGTGCACGGTGGGAGACAGGGGTTTAATTTCATTTTGTTGCACATGGATGTCCAGTTCTCCCAGCACCATGTGTTGGAGAAGTAGCCGGTGCCTTCTGATGGGCCCAGGCTGTTCGTGTGCTCTTCTGCTTTTACAAGCTGGGCTTCCAGAACTTTCTTGCTCACTTGTGCATGTGGGCAGAGAAACCCTGGGAAGAACCTGGCCATCCAGGGAAGAAAGGGTCTTAAGACCCCCGTAGCTGAGCCCCGTTCTCCACGTCCTCCTATTGTGTCCTCTGCAGTAGCCGCCATCGGTGTCCGTGTCCCTCGCTTGCCTGCCCGGGGTGTGAAGTGGTTTAATGGTGAAGTGGCCGCAGGGTTGCCACACGCCTTCCTGTCCCCCTGAGTGCGTTAACACCGCCTGTTTGCTTGTGTCTCCAGCAGAAGGAAGGACAGAGTCTGAATGGACGGACTTCCCCAAGGACCCTCTGGAAGCCTGAGGTCCCCCAGAAGAAGGGCAGGCAGCCTGCAGGCCAGGACGGCGCTGACCAGGTCCCCAGCCGCTGTCGGGGTGGCGGCTCCTCCGGGGCTCCAGGCTCCCCTGAGGCCACCCTGGAGGAGGAGGGCAGCTTCCAGAAGGTGTGGGCCACTGTGTTCGAGCACCACGTGGAGCGACACTTGGTGGCTGACCTGTCGGGACACCGCCTCTCGGCCACGCTCCCTCATAACGGGGCGGAGCCGCCCGTCCCAGAGTCCAGACCCAGGCCCGAGAAAGGCCCTTGGCCGGCAGTGACGGTCCCCAGGAAGGAGAACCCCAGGAGCCCCGAGAGCGCTGAGCCACGGAGGCTGGGACGAGGCTCCCTGGCCGATGGGGAGCCGAGACCGGGCCACACACCCGTCCTGGAAAAATACCCTTTTGGTGACAAACGCACCAACAGCCCTGTCCAGAGGCCCTCGGAAGCCCCCCCGGCGTGGCCCAGAGTGGAGCCCAGGTACGACGTGGTGCTCGCCGTCGGGGAGCGCGCCCACAGCGAGGCTGTCCCCCTCGTGCCCGAGGCCAAGGCTGTCACACTGCGAAGCAGCCGGACCCAGCCCTTGCCCAAGGACCGGCAGCTGTCCCAGGAGGCCACCTCCTCTGACCTGGAGCGCAGCCCGCACGGGCCCCAGGGGTGTGTCCAGAGGGCCAGTCTGATGTGGGAAGCTCAGGGGCAGGAGGCCAGCTGGAGGCCTGTCTGTCGGGAGCCCAAGGACATGCCTGGAGGCAGCTGCCCGTCGCCCCGATGGACCGGTGGGACGGTGGCGAATCTGCATAGAGCCACTGTGGGGGTCAGCCCAGCGCCCTGTGCTCCTGAGGCCACTTCTTCCAGCACTGTCCAGGCTTCGGTCCGGGAGGCCCAACCCCGGGGCCCTGGGGGGGTCGGTGTGTTGGTGGCAGGAGAGGTTCCCTCCCAGGGGGACCTCCGGGGTCCTCCGGCCAGGACCTTGAGCTCCCCGGCACAGCCGTGCCCAGAGACGCAGCCTGTGCAGAAGGGGCCTCAGGTGGCTGCCAGCACGGGTGACCCAGGGCTGGCCCAGGTCCCCGAAGCCAAGGTGTGGAAAACCAGTCCCACTACCCGGAGGGTGGACCGGTGGAGGCGGCGGACTTTACCCCACTACGTGAAATTCGATGACTTCAGCTTCCTGGGCCCCGAGACCACTGCGAGAGCAGAGCAGAGGCGAGCCGACTCCCTGGGCCCCACGGCCAGTGCCTTCCAGAACCCCCCCACCCCACCCGCCCGGGAGACCCAGGAGGAGGCCCCAGGGCCCTCAAGGACCTCCCCAGCAGTGAAGCCAGCGTCATCCGTGGAGCCCAGGGTGACGTTTTTTGCAGTAACATATCAGATTCCTGATATTCAAAAGACAAAAAGTGTCATTAAGCTCGGGCCTGAGAACTCACTGGAACATTCTAGAAAAACGGCCCCGCCCCCCTCATCCCACCCTCTCACATCTGCTTCGGTTTCTCCCAACCACGGGGAGCCACAGGCGACTGCGGCCAGGAGAAGCTGGGCTCAGGGACCAGAGGGTGTCAAGGGGACCGATGTCTCCAGGGCCCCGAAGCCCACAGACCGCCCTTTGCCCCCTGGGGACGGGACTCCAGACCCTTCCCGCGAAAGGATCATCGACGTGGACGCTTTATCGACTCCGCGGGGGTCAGGAGATGACGGGGGTCTTCAGAGCAGCTGGAAGGACTGTGGAAACAAGGTGTCCCCAACTACCCCGGCCCTGCGGAGTCGGCCAAAGGCCAGCGGCCTGCTGGTCAGAAGGAGGACCGAAGTGGTCAGCGAGACGTACCCAGGGAAAATGAGGGACGGCTACAGACCCGGCGTCCTCGACATCGACGCCCTGATGGCCCAGTACCAGGGGCACTGCTCCCAAGGCCCAGGCGAGGCCCAGGAGCGCAGGGGCAGCCCCACCACGGAGCCCAGCAGCTCGCCCCTCGAGAGGCCCGGCCGGCTGGGGAGGCAGGAGCTGGGCAGCGGGAGTCCCCAGGAGGCTGCGGGGGTCTGGAAGCGAGCCAGCCTGGCCGAACCCCTTCACACGTCCAGCCCCAGCTCCCCCAGGCCGCCAGCAGAGACCCCAGGGCCAGCCCCGGCCACCAAGCCTAGCTCCCCTCTGTGGGCTCGGCCACTCTCCACTCCCGCCGAGCAATGTCCTGCGGCCTCTCCTGTCCCTGAAGGTCCCAGGCACAGAGTCTCGGGGGTCACCGAGAATGAAAGCAGGGCCTCCGGCAGCCAGCTCGGGGCCGAGTGTCAGCACTGCCCTGTCGAGCGCAGGCCCCCTGCCCCCGAGGACCCGGCCGGGGGGGTGAGGGGATCACCCAGATCACCCACCAATGACCACAAGAACAGGACTCCCAGGAAGTCCACTGGGGAGGGCGAGGAGGCCCCGGGGGGCGGCCCCCCACAGCCCTGTGGAAGGGTGGTGCCAGATGTCAAGAGGTCCTGCTCCGAGAAGGGCCCCCGTGCCAGGACCCAGGAGGCTCTGTCCATCATGCAGGAAGCCAGAGAGAGGAGGCCAGAGCTACCCAGGGGGAGGCTCAGCCTCCCCGTGGAGAGTTCAGAAGCCAAAGCAGGACCGCGGAGGTGGGAGCCGAGGACTCAGGACAGCCACAAGGTGAGTCAAAGCATGATTAAGCCTCCAGGTCTCGGGCATCAAACTCAGGTCTTGTGTGAGTCACACAAGGGCACTAAGGAGTGGAGTCAGGTGAGTGTGAGCTGCAGGGAGCGGCGGGGAGTGTGGCAGACAGAGTCTCCTGCCCGCTCAGGAGGGGCCACCGCTGTTCGGTTCTGGCTGGTTCTTGACTCATGAGAATGGCAGGCCTAAGAGGACAGGCCTCATCTTTTAAGGGAATGTGAAGATCCAAACGTGTGTCTGATCCCCCCATTAGGAAAGGAGGGTGATTCATGTTAAAACGCCGTTGTCTGCTGCTTCCCTCAGCCCCTTCAGGCCGCTGGCTAGAAGGATGGTAATGAAGCATCGGTGCAAGCCTTAACGGAGCACCTGCTGTATATGGTGTGCTGTGCTCTTTGTCATATCCACAGTACACAGCCTCATGCTCACCACCTTGTGAACACTGAAGCAATGCTGCAGAATGAGTGTACCACCCCCTGTCCTGCAGCACCGTGCTCAGTGCTGGAGGAGCCACCTGCCACTGGCACATACTTGAGTGTCAGGCAGGGCGCTGACAATGTCCATAGGGTGTGGTGGTCTTCCCGAACAGATGGAAGATGTTGAGGTTCTGAGAGGTTCAGTAACTTGTCCCAGGTCACACAGCAGTAAGTGACAAAGCTGGTGTCCGAGCCCAGGTCTGGCCTGGTTTTTACCTCATGCTCGTGGGCCACTTTCTAACTGGCCATGTTGGGGCCCAAGGAGCCACAGAGCTGTCTGGGAGCTTCTGAGCTCTGTGGGAGATGGGCCCGCGACCCAAGGCCAGGAAGTGACACGGTACAGAAGCAGGCTGTAGGAAAGAGTCAGGAGGGCCTGTGGAGGAGGGCCTGGCTTGAGCCCGACCTTCAGGGGCCAGGGGACTTGGGTGGGCAGAGGAGGGGTCGTGGGGCTCTCGCAGGGGTCTGGAGGTGGGGGAAACTGGGGGGTGTTCTGGAGATGGCACCCTCCTGGGGGACCAGGCACTGGTGATCTCCAGCTCCAAATCCCATCCCTGCTGCTGGCAGATGGTCCTGGACTATTCTGCGGTGCTGAGGCCACCATGCCTGGGTCCCCCACAAGACCAGAGCAGGCTCGGCCACCTGCCAGGCCCAGCTCCCGGCCCGGGCTCTGGGGGCACCTGATCTTGGCATGAACCGCACTCAGGCTTGCTCCCTCCTGGGAAGATGGTGGGGTCCCCCGGCGGGGACTCTGGGGAGGAGGAGCTGGGATCGAGGTTGGCAGGGATGGCCGCCTGTCCCCCGCCTGGGGCTGTGACTGCAGGAAGCCATGTGAAGGGGGCACTTGAGCCTCCACAGCAGCCTGAGCACGGGTGGCCTGGTGAGGGAGGCTGTGGAGGTGTGCGGAGCCCGCGGCCCCGGGCTGCTGTAGGGGAGGCGCTTTCTCACCACACGCCCTGGAAGCTGTGGACCTGCTCCCTGGCGCTCTCTTCTCTCCCACCCAAAGATCTCTGGTTTTTATCTTAAAAAAAAAAAAAAATCCAAACCAAACAGAAAAACCCAAACCCAAACAAAAACCAAAATCCAATTCAAAAGTACAAAATGTTGACTGTTACAAATTCAGCCCTTGCAGGTGTATGAGAAATCAAAGGTGCGCGCCAGTTGGGGTGGTGCATACCTGGAGCCCCCGCTACGCAGGGAGGCTGAGGCAGGAGGATCACCGACTCAAGGCCGGCCTCGGTCACTTGGGCTGGGGCTGGGGCTCTGTGGCAGGGTGCGTGGCTGGCCTGCCCAGGCCCCGGGCTCCACCCCAGCACCACAGCAGACAGACAAACAGACATGCAGCTTCCCCAGGTTTTTATGTCCTTTGGGACAGTCTTATGTTCCATAGTCATTTCTCATGTTGCAGAGGTAGGGCCTGCTTGGGTAACGTTCGAAATTTAGAATATTCTAGGACATCCGCGGTAGAACGGAATCTGCCCCCAGAGAAAGAAACCGGGACCGTTCCAGACATGTCAGTGGTTCTCGCCGCCGAAGATGTGTTCCTGGGACACCTTTGCTCATGGCCGGGCGCTCCTCTGCTCGCCCAGCTGGGGGAGAGCTAGCCAGGGCATCTTACCGGGTAGGAGCCCAGGATGCTGCTCTGCAGCCTGTGAAGAAAGCGCCAGTCCCCGAGGCCCGGGCCAGAGGCGGGGCCTGGTGTAGACTCAGGTGGGGACACAGGTCAGACACGGGTTGAGCAGTTCATCTGGGAACGCGACAGCATCCTACAGAAAGATCTTGCAACTTGATTATTTTTTAGGGGGGGCAGCAGGTACTGGGGACTGAACTCAGGGACACTTGACCCCTGAGCCCCACCCCCAGCCCTGTTTTGCATTTTATTTAGAGACAGGGTCTCCCTGAGTTACTTAGGGCCTTCCTTTAGCTGAGGCTGGCTTTGAACTCAGGATCCTCCTGCCTCAGCCTCCCGAGCCGCCGGGATGACAGGTCACCACGCCTGGCCACCCTTGTTCTTTCCAAGGGCCTGGGGACGTAGCACAGTTTGTGTGACCTTCCCAGGTGGACGATATTTCTGACAATTTGATGTTGCAAACAGACGTCGCCCCCACTCAGGATGGCTCGACTTGATGATTTTCAGCTGCATTGTGGTGGGAAGGGTGGGAGCCCGGCCTTCTCCTGGGTGGTGGGGCCGCGGTCCTGCCTCGTGGTGCCCGCAGCAGCAGGGTGGGCATTTCGATGCGCATGTGCAGCGTAGCGTGGGTTGATCAGGACAAAACCCTGTCACGAGCCAGGCCCGTCGGTATGTGCAGACTTCTGCACACCTGCGGGTCTCCGTGGCTGCAGAATGGCCATGACCTGTTGAAGTGTGGAGCTGGCAATCTCTGCAGGACCCTGCTGGCCGTGCCACAGCAGGGCTGCACCTGTCTGCACGTCTAGCAGCGCCTGCTCCAGGGCCCGCTGCCCTCATCTTGACCCAGCGTGTCAGCCTTCTGAGTTTCACCCCCCACCAGTGCCCTCACCTCTCCACGTGGCTTGGTGAGCTTCCTCCTGAGTGAGGAGGCATTTGTCCAGTGGGGGAGGTCATCTGCACTTCCTTCCGTAGCCTGCCTGTTTATGTTCCACTGCTTTTCTTTGGGGCTGTGGCCCTCTTATTGATTTCTGAGAGCTCTTTATTAAGGAATGAACCCTTTGCCCTTGTGTGTTTTGATTTCTTCCTGGAAGCAGCCCTGGACTGCATACTGGGCAGATCTGGGATAAACTCTAGCCTGGGTGGCTCTGGGCCCCTCCCTGGAGTTCTCTGAGCCTCCATTTCCTCATCTCTGGGCGGGGCGGCTGCCTACCTCACGGGCTCCCTGGAGATTTATTATGGTATAATGCAGGGCCAAGCCTCTGACCGTTGGGTCCTGGTATGGAGGAAGCAGGAGGAAGTCAGGGGGAAGCTACTTGGGGTCACCCTCCTGGCCTCATTTACTATGTGTAATAAATGCACTAGGCTGTGTCCTAGGTGCCCTGGCTCCAGGCTTGCAGGAAGCCACCCCAGGTTATTTAAGTTATTAAAGATGAAATACAAGGATGAGTCAGTGCTTGCACCCCCTGGCCACGTCCAGGCACTTAGAAGTCACATGTGGCTCCCCAGGTGGGACCCACAGACACAGACGTCTCCCTCCCTGTGGAACCCTCAGGTGGACGGCGGGGTCTGGAAGGGGCAGGCATCTGGTCATCTGGGGAGCAGAAAGCTGGGCAGGTAGGGACAGAGGCGGGAGGACCTGGGCTGACAAAGGGCTCCCTCCAGGCCAGGACGGGGGGCTGGCCGGAGCTGGGGTGAAGGTGCCTAGCCAGGGGAGGAGCTTGTCCCGTGGACACTGGAGGGACCTCAGCGGGCAGGGGTTGGGGCCCGGCTGAGATGGAGAGGGGGGCAAGGCCCGAGCAGGAGACCTGGCTGAGGTCACTGAAGGACTGTCACCCTCTGTGTCTTAGAGACACACCTCCCCATTGGCTCTCTGTGAGTGTGGACTGAGGGCCGAGGTGGAGGCCGGGAGGCCGCCATGGTCCAGAACCCACCAGGCTGTGGCTCGATTCTTCCTCACCCCCAGTCCTGGGCCACTGCGTCTGGAGAGCCCGTTCTACATGTGTCCCCCGACTGAATGCACGCGGCTCCACTCTGCTTCCTCTGGCAGGTTTTGCCGGTTCATCTGCTTGGCCATGTCATTGAGCCTAGCCTCTTTCCTGAGTGCATAGTACTCCCTGTGTGTAGCCCACATTTTCCTTATCCATTCCTGGGCTGACTGCCTTTTCGGGTTGCGTCCACTTTGGGCTGTTAAGAATGGTGCTGCTGTGACATCTGTGTGTGCGTCTTTGAGTGGACATGTGTGTTTGTTTGGGTGTGTACCTAGCAGTGGGCCAGACAGCCACTCCAGGCTTCATTTTTGAGAACTCGCCACCCTGTCTCCCAAAGCAGCCGCGCCATGTTATGTTCCCCGTAGCAGCGTCTTCACGTCCTCTCCACCTGTTTTTGGTGACCCATCTTAGTGGGTGGGGTGTAAAGTGGGATTTCATTGGTGTTTCAACTAGGATTTCCCTCAGGATTCATGGAATTGAGCATCCTTTCGTGTGCCCCTTGGCCATTTGTATGCATTTGTATGCATCTGCCTATTCAGATGCTTTCCTTGTTTTAAAATTGGGGTGTTTGTTTATTATTGAATTGCCATTGCTCTTTATATATTCTGGATACAAGTCAGTATGTGTGGAAATTTCCTCCCATTTTGTGGGTTGCTTCTCCACTCTTAATGGTGTCCCTGGAGGCACAAACACTTTTCATTTGGATGGAGTCTATTTTATCTGTCTTTTGTGGCTTATGCTTTCAGTGACATACCTAAGAAGCCATTGTCAAATCCAAGGTCATGTAAGAGCTCTGGTTTTCTTCTAAGGGTTTGCTAGTTTTTGCTCCTACATTTAGGTCTTTAGCTGAGTTGACTCTGGTACAGGATGTGAGGCTTGCAGGTGTCCTGCAGGAGGGCCTCTGTTTAGTTGGGGGTGCAGGGGTGTGATGTGGAGGCAGTCCAAGGGCCTGGGCCTGCCTGGCTGGGATGAGGACTGAGTTTGGAGAGGAGGAAGGGAGAGGCCTGTCCTGGGCTCCTGGTGCAGGTCAGAGGCCTGAGCTGCTGGGTGGCCATGTGAGCAGCAGTCGGGTCTGTCTGCTGGAGCCCAGCCTGAGAGCTCTGGGGGTGGCCTCACGGGCATGAAGGGAGATGGCAGAGAGAGTGGCTTAGGAGGCTGTGTGGCTGGCTCAGGGTAGGCAGGGAGGTGGAGAGGGAGGGGGTGTCCCATAGGCTGTGAGGAAGGGCCGGGGGCATCCTGCCTCTCCTCCTGCCGCTGTGTGTTCTTAAGCAGGCCCCTCCCCTCTCTGGGCCTCCCTTCCTGGTGTACACAGGGGTGAGGCTAGTAAAATACAGATTGTGGAGTCCTGTGTTTAGGAGCCGGACGGCGTCCCTCTGTGTAACCAAGTGGGAAATACGGCCCAGTGCGGAGGAGAGGAGCCAGGGCGCAGTCCCATCTGGCATGGCCTCTGTATCTGGGCGTGAGTGTGGACGCACCAAGCACCCCCGCAGGCGGTACGAGGCTGGCTGACCTTCGGGCCTCCTACCGACCCGATGGCTGGGCTCAGGCCTCGTGCACGCCTGCCACCTGGCGGCTGTACTGCGTCCTGCATGTGGCTTCTTGTTTTTCTCATGTACCCTAGAAGCTGGCTACTGTTATTATCTGCTTCCTGACAGTTGAGGCTCAGAGAGGGTAAGGCAATCACCCAAGGTCACACAGGGGGCTAAGGCGGACCAGTTGGACTTAGGCTGGCTGCTGCCACAACTTACCTCCAGCCATTAGGGTTGGGGGATCTCTGGTGGTTCAACACTCTTCCTTGCCCCAGTGGACCCTCCTGGCATGCCAGTTTTCCTGTAAATGGCACAGCCCCCCTGTAACCTCCTTCCCTTGCGTTCTTTGTCTCAGGTGCCATCGCGGGGCCTGGAGCCAGGGGATGTCCTTCAGGATAATGAACAGCCACTTCGACAGGGATCCCCTGTGGCCTCGGGACCTCAGAGAAGTCACAGCTTTTGCAAGGACAAGAGGAATGGGCCTTTGGTGGTGAGTGACCGCGGCGTGGCTGGAGAGGAGCCCAGGGGGCCCGGGATCAGGCTCCGCCGGGAACCTGCCCCGGAGGCTCGGGCTGCGGGCGGGCGGGGGGCGCGGCTGCTGTCTGGGAACCGAGGTGGTCGCCGGCTCCGAGGGGAGGTGTCTGCGGGCTCTGTGGGGAGGCCTGGGCCRCCTCGGTTCCCGCGCCCTGTGCAGAGGGAGCGCAGCTTGGTGCGCCCTGGGGGGGGGGGGGTTCTGGGGCCAAAAGTTCCCGAGTTCGAACCCCCGCGCTGGCTTCTGCCTCCGATTTTGAGAACTTGAACTGGTTTCTGTGCACGTCGGTGTCTTCAGCTGGAAGACGGGGACTTGCTGCTTTACCCCCGGGTGAGGATGGCGTCGGGTCACGCCCCGGGCCCAGCGCCCAGCGGCGCCCTCAGTAGTGTGCGGCTGGGGGGGGGGCAGGCCCGGCTGCGCATGCGCGCGGAGGCTGGACGGCGGAGCTTTCCCCGCTGGGAGCCGGGGCCTGGGCTCCACCGGGCGGTGGGGCCGGAGGACTCAGTGCGGGAGGGTCGGGCCGTGCGGGTGTGAGCCTCCGCGGGCTTGCGCTGCCCTGTCCCAGGGGCGGTTGTCCCCTCGCTCGCTGGTGGACAGAACTGGGCAGAAGGAGCCGTCCCCGGGGAAGTCCTCCTCCGGGAGTCTCCKCGGCCCCGGGCCAGGGCAGGCGCCACCTCCGGGATTCCCGATGGTCTCTTCAGTGCCSTGACACCTGGGGACCTGTCGCGTTCTTGCTTGCTCCTGGCCTTGGCGGGGTCACGGGCTCCGCGGGGGGGTGGGGGGCTAGGGCAGGAGGCGACCCAGCAGCAGGTGCTTCGGGACTCCTTCGTGAGATCCAGGCTGGGCCCGCGGCCGGGGACGCAGTGGCACCTGAACCCCAGGCCCACGTCTCCCGGCTCCAGGCCACTCTTCCCTGAGCCTCCAGGTGCTCCTCTGTGAAGTGGGGTGAGGAGGCCATGGCGGGGCTCCTGCTAGGGCCTGGTGTAGTGGCCGCCACCAAGTGGAGGGCTGTCATTGTAGGGCTGAGGGGGCCCGGGAGGCCCTGGACTCCAGGAGGCGGCTGCTGAGCAGCCCCAGAAGCTCTGGCAAGCGTCCTGATCCCAGATGCGCGCACTGCACACAGCCTGGTTTGGTGCTGGACATTCTCTTCCACGTTCCTTTCTGACCCTCGTGGCCAGCCCCTCAGGGGTCCTGCCTGGGCTTCTGTGACTGCACTTGAACTGGGGTGTGTGGGCGAAGTCGAAGGTGATGGGGAGAAAAGCACTTTAAACCTGTCTTTTTATAGTTCTCCTCCTGCTAGAGTCCTCCCTGGCCACCGGCTCCTTCTCTTTCACCCTGACACAGACCAAGGACCAGCCTTTGTTCTTGGCATCCTCGGCTGGCGGCAGCTTGCCTTGGCTCCCTCCTTCTGGGCTCTGAGGCCCTTGCTGGGTCACCCTGCCTGAATCGATGTCCTCTGGAGATGGATGGGTGGGACTCAGCCCTCTTGGTAGCACCTGACCTCAGATCCCTTAGGTACTCTCAGGACTTGTGCCTGCAATCACAGGGAGAGACCACCAGAGGACAGTGGTCCCACCTGGGAGGGACAGTCTGGGGCCATGGAGGCTGAGAGAAGGGGGTTCCCATTCCAGCCCTGCCACTGTGTGACCTAGGGGACATGGCTGGAGGAGGCTCCCCGAGGCTGGCTTTCCTTCTCTGAGATGAAGACAGCTCTCTCTGGCCTCAGGAATATTCTTGTGCATCACTGCAGAGGTTACCCAGCACATAGTAAGTTCTCAGTTAACGCTTCCTCTGCAGGGGCCGCGTGCCCTGCTTCCTCCCTCCCCAACTTCCTCTCCACAAAGAGCTCCCATGTTGGCCAGGGGGATCCTCCAGGTAAGGCCTGGGCCCTCACCCCTGCTGGCTGCCCCGCTGCTCTGTGGTTGGTGCGCCTTTCCTCAACCAGAGGGGACCCTGATGGTGCTGTCCACTGTGCCACCATTGGCTGACCAGTGGCCATGCTGCTGCTTTCCAGCTTGGGTTCGGTTCATTGCCTTCATTTTCTGAGCCTGCGGGTCGGTCCTTGTCACTTCCACTCCATGTTCACTTGAAGAGCATGAATCCCATCCTGAGAGGAGGAACGTGAGGCCCAGAGTGGTTAGGCCACTTGATCACAGCCACACAGCAGTCAGGGGAGCAGGAATGGAAAAGGGGCCTGTGAGGCTCCCAGCTTGGACCTGGGAGCTTCCTGCCTTGGGACTGGCTTGGCCCCCTGCCAGCCCCTGCCCCCCCCCCCCCGGCCTGCAGGGCTTGTGCCTCAGCTGCTCCAGGAAAGCGGACACCCGCACCCTGGGCCTCCTCAGGCTGGGAACGTGATATTCCTTGAGCTGGGGTTGGCCCCGCTGTTCTGCTGCTGCCTTCCAAAGGCTGCTGGGGACCTGCCAGGCCGGTGGCCTGAGGATCTGTACAGGCCCACCCGTCCTGGCCAGCCACAGGCTGGTCAGGGCCTGAGCAGAGGCCCGGCTGGCCTGGCCCTGCCCCTGCTGGAGCAGGGAGTTTCCCACAGGGGACACAACCAGGAATAGCAGGGCGGCCCCACGAGACAGTCCCTGCCCGCTTCACAGGGGACGCTGTGGCCCAGAGCCAGTAGGGCCCTCTGGAGCCCTGGGTCTGGAGCCGCTCTGGGCCCTGTTTGGTGCAGGTGGAGGCTGGAGCCGGGGGGGTCACAGGGCAGGAAGCTCGGCACCACCTCTGCTCTGGCTGCTGGTACCGGCGACCGAACTCAGGGCACCCAACCACTGAGCCACGTCCCCATCCCCATTTTGTACTTTATTTAGAGACAGGGTCTCACCGAGCTGCTCAGCGCCTCATTGTCACTGAGGCTGGCTTTGAACTCGCGATCCTCCTGCCTCAGCCTCCTGAGCCGCTGCCTTCTGCCTTATTCTTAATACTCAATTTCAGGCCTTTTACATTGTTCTCTACAAGAGTTGGTGGGAAGGGAAGGCGGCCCTCATCTTAGATGTTTTTCTGCCCTCGAAGAAATGCAGGCCTGGTGAGTGCCTTGTCCAAGGTCCCGGGGCGGGGACATAGCTGGACGAGGCCCCTTGTCCCACCCAAGTGCTGAGCCAGACCTCCACCCCCATCTGCCATTGGGCGCCTCTCCTCCCGGCCAGCGAGCTCTGCACTGTATGATCTCGCAGGGGACACAGACACAGGGGCTCAGCAGTGGACCCCGACCTTGGGTGGTGCTCCACCCAGAGACCCYACCGGTGACTGCAGAAGCACGTGTCCCCTGTGGGGCAGGGTGGGCCTCGGGTTGCCTCGAGACTTTGGTCGGCTGGTATCGGGGGGCTGATGTGGCTCTGAGTTCATGCCTTTGTCGGACCTACTGTGCGCCAGACCTGGGTGAGGGTGCTGGAGACTCTCCCTCAGCCTCCTGCCGCTGACAGGCCAGGGGTCCTGAGATGCCTGGGGGTCCCCTGGGATGAGGGGGAGGAGAGGACCGCGGGTGGGGCTGCGCATGTGCAGATGTGGCGGCGGCCGGAGCTGGGGCGCAGGGAGCAGGCTGGATTGGCCGTGTGCGCAGGTGTGGGGCCAGGCCGTGGTTCTGGTTATGAGTGGGACAGGTTATGAGAAGGTGGGTAAGTGCTTGTCGGGGAGGCCCCCCCACCATGGTCGAGGCCAAGGTCTGCCCCCCGGGGCAGGTCTTCGGTCGCGGACCGTGTTCGCTCGGAGGAGAGCAGGCAGCCTGACCAGTCAGAGGAGGCTGGCCTCAGTGAGCAGCGCTTGGGCCCAGGTTAGAGGCAGGAAGGAGAGTCCTGGACGGTGGGCGAGGGACCTTCTTTGACTCTGACTGGATGCATAGTAGCTGGGAAATGGGGAACCAGATTTGGATTCTGAGGATAATAGCAGTTCTTGTGTCACCAACTTAAGAAGACCTTGTCTCCCGAGGGGACACATCCTTAGTCCCAGTGGGAGAGACTTAAATTTCAGTTGGTTGACAGGGCATCCACATGGGAATGAAAAGATCAAAGTGAAAGGTTTCAGGACAACTTCCAAACAGCTCATCAAAGATACTGATTGAATAAAGAGCGTGTATTTTTATGTTTGCCTGGAATGTAGACCCTCAGGCACCGCTCCCCCCCCCAATGTGGCTCACTGGATGAATTTGCTTTCTTGCCTCACCCAGCAGGATGTCCAGAGTGGGCATCTGCTAGCTCCTCTCCTCATTGCTGAGTGTCTCTTGGGCTTCCTTCATGCCCCCTGCCTCATGGTGCCAAGATGGCTGCCACTCTTCCAGGAACCAATTCCACTCTTAGGCAGGAAGAAGTGGGGGACCCCACTGAGTCTGCACGTTAGCCAGGGAAGCAGAGAAGATGGTTCTCTTATATATCATGGGTAAGACCAGGTTACATGGCCCCACCTCACAGCAAGAAAGACTGGCAAAGTCAGGGTTCAAGTCTTCCAGCTTTTGGCATGAAGTTGGTCAAGGTGGAATGGCAACCGATCATTTCACAAGTAGCATTGTTCATCACACAATGAAAGAGAATTGGGACCATCGATTCTTAACAAGGAAGGACCAGGTCAGGGTATGGGCCAAGAGAGAAAATTTGCTCCGCATGCTGGGGGGTGGGAGTGAGCTGAGCACCGGGCGGCAGGTGGGCAGGCTCAGTCCCTCAAGGCCCCCAGCTGTGGGGGAGGGGGGGGAGCAGAGGTCCGAGAAGGCAGGGGCTGAGGTGGAGGAGACAGGCAGGGTGGGCCAGCGGGGAGCCCCGAGGGGCACCTGCCCATGGGAGAGGGCTGTGGGACTCATGGCGGCAGAGACTGGGCTGCTCYGGGCTCCTCGGAGGCTTGGAATCCTGACGTGGGTCTCCTTCCACTTGTTAATCGCTTCTCACCTCCTCTCTGCTGGGCTGGGAGGGCTTGGACGCTGAGCAAGTTMTAGCTCAGCTGGTTAAAGTTCATTTTTTTGGATTAAA